ATTTCTTCTTGGTTCTTTAGTTCTTCGTTGCTTCTGTTTCAGTCCCACCAAAGGAACTGGTTGTCCTAAGGCTGCAGCTAGGAGAGCCGCCTTCCATTCTTTGGTCTGCCTCCTTTTTGGCCGCTCATTCTCGGTTTCTAAAGACTTTATTGGTGATTTCCAGTAAATTAGTGGCATTCTTCTCAGAGAATCCCTCTAACTATTGAAGTTTTTGTCTGATGTTGGTCTGTGCCTGTCCCACAAAGCATTGGACCATGCACTAGTTCCTAGAGGCCTCTGAGTCAAACAGAGTTTAAGCTCTGAAGGCCTCACATAATCTCTCATAGAAGTCAGCCGTATTCTAATCTAGTCTCTGTAAGACCTCAGAGGTCTTTGCCATGTTTGCAGGTGTCTTGGCCCCTGCCTTCACCCCTTGGAGGAAGGCGAGTCGATATCTTTCTAGACGGTTTCTTTCTTCCTCTGTATTTGGATCCTGTGGGGTTCCTTATCAGGTAAGGCCTCTCGTGCCCAGGCTTCTACATCTAGATGTCCAGCTGGCACCTGGGTCTAGAGCCATTTTCTGGCTTCTGTGACAACCTGTCAACATTCTTCTGAGTTGAATAGGGTGAGTAAAAGTTGTTTACAGTCGACCCAGGCGGGGCGATGAGTCTGGAAGATAGATTCCAGGAGGTCTATCATCTTTGGGGGTTTTTCAGAGTATGGTGGCTTATGGTGTTTCCAGTAATGGAGAATGGCTGATAGTAGAAGACTGATCTCTCCTCTTGTAGGGTCCCATCAGGGCCTACTCTCTGCAGACCCCTTGTATCCCGCAGTGGCAATTGCATTGTTGCTGGGGGTTTTGGTCCCTGGGTCGCTGACCTGAGACATCTTCCCATTGCCTCCGGCAACCCTGGCTCTGGTGACCCTGGTGGTGGCGGTGCATTGGCCATTGGTAGGGGTGAGAGGGATGGAGGTGGGCTGTCGGGCAGGTGAGGTTCCGGTAGTGGGGCATATGGCGGTGGCAGTAGAGGGGCCTCTTCAGAATCCCCTTGTAATAGAGGAGACCACTTAATTCTTTGTGAAGTCTTCCTTTCACCTTGTGCCTCGAGGACCTTACATGGTCCCTGACTAGTAACACAAAATCGGATCCATGGAGGCCTGATTTGGGCTATTTCCTCCTACTAGTGTATGTAGGGAAATTGGTCCAGATGGCTGGAGTCTCTGGTGACCCTATACATAGCTGGTACTGTAGGGACCTCAAGGGTGCCTTCCGAGGGCCATCCCACACCAAAGGTAGGCCATTCTAATTCACAGAAGGTGCACAATTTTCCAGGGGTCAATTTGACCCCATAATCTCCTGAGAACCCCTTTTTAAAATTCTTTGTCATACATTCCAGAACAGTGGGTTTAGAGCACTGGTACTCAACCTTCCTAATGCCATGACCCTTCAATACAGTTCCTCATGTTATGATGACCCTCAGCCATAAAATTATTTTTGTTGCTACTTCATAACTGTAATTTTGCTACTGTTACAAATCGCTATCGGAAATATGTGTTTTCTGATGGTCTTAGGCAACCCCTGTGAAAGGGTCGTTCAACTCCCAAAAAGTCACGACCCACAGGTTAAGAACCTCTGGTTTAGAGGAACTTCCTCCCATAATGATATCTAAGATGGTTAAGCAAACCTCCCAGTGAACGGTATTGCGAGACAAATAGGAGGTACCTCTCATTTTGTCAACCTGGCCATTCCCCTCACGGGGACTTAGGCACCTCTTGGCATTGTCAGGTCAGTATAAGTCTCTAACTCAGATCAAGTTCACTGGCCAAGACAATGTCCCCAAAACCTGATACTGCCCTTAGCCATATGAGGTCACCGTGGATGTGCAGGTTGGGACTCACATAGGCGTTGTGGAGCATGGTCACTCACATATACAATCACACAGAATTTAAACTTTCCACCCAGGAATTCCCTGTCCTGTGAGGCGTCTGGTTCATCTGGGAGGTGATCAAGCTCCCTTTCCGCATTCATTAGAGGTGGGCCTGAACTCGGTCTGGGTCCCTGGGGACACTTACCGATCTGATGTCCTGGCAGGCTTTTCTGTCCTCCCAAGTGTCCATTCAAGCAGTGGTGGCTGACTACAGTCAGCCCAGCAAGGGTCAGGGTCCAGTGCAATCACTGGTGGCTCACTTTCCTTTCTGTTGCAGGGGCCCAAAATTAAAGGCTCTTTACCGCTGGCTTCCGACAGCGGTAGCTCAAGAGGCCAACATGGCTGTCGACTTCCTGGCCAATGCCCCAAAATGTTATGGCAGAAATTCAGTTGGCGGGAAGAGGAGACAGATTGCACCCACTCGAAGGATTAGAAAATGACTTTTTAATGTGCACCAGTGCTGGTCCAGCAGGGTCGCTTCTAAAGGCTGAGCCCCGTGCCTGGGTTCCAGTCACCTTTTATACACAATATGCTTCAGTGTATTTGGGGACTTTCTAGTTGCTCTGTAGTTTAGACGTTTGTCTGATATAAGGGGCAAGCGAGATTATAGAAGCCAGGACTGCGGTCTCTGCACTGAGAGCTAAGGGGTTACCTGCACCCGGTTTGTCTTTTCACCAGTGGACAACCACACTTGTATATTGCCTTGCCTTTGTACATATTTCTCTTCTTTCCCCGTCCAGAGCAGCATTCATTACATTTCATAAGTGCTTTGCATTGAATTTCAAAGTTCAATGTGGCTTCTATACTGGGACATTATCAGGCACAGATGCCTAAAGGGCTTTTGGCAATCAGTGGCTTGGTAGCCTTGATTCAGTTTGAATCACCCCTTCAAGGACCATATGAAAACAGTCTTGCAGGATCCCAGTCATATTCTTGGGAACCATTTTACTTTCCAACTTTTTAGACTAGTTTAGAGGCCTTTGGGTTTCACTGGACCATTTCCTCATTCCCTTCTTTGGTTACTCTTGGCCACTAACCTTCCACCCACTTTACTACTCATTTTTTAGGGACCTCTTCAGTAACACTAGAAAAATTACCTCTGAAGCCATATGGGTTGAGTAAAACAAACTCAAGGTTAAAAAAGAAAAAGGAAGAAATGTGTGTTCTCTGAACTTTATTTATATAATCTGTTTAGATGTTTAGGTTGGGTAGTCCAGCTCCCTCCCCATATTTCAAAAATAACTAGATATCTGGGAAACACTCAAAGATCATAGTGTTGTCATAGTGAATAAAAAGATACTTCATCTGTCTCCTTCTTTTGGAAGCCAGTAAAATGAGTCATGTTAAGGTTTGGGAGTATATGCCTGAGTATTTGAATGTTTGCTCATGGTATACAGTTCGACTGTGTGCTATCTAATTGATTAGTTTACATTTGGTAAGATAAATATTGTTTTAAGGTGATATTAGTAGTCTTTAAAGCCTGGGCTCTAATCTGGTCTGTGTATAATGTGAATTAATACTTAAGTACACTTGTGTCAGGATTATTCTAGAAAACATCTAGAATAGAGTTTTGTAGAATTTGTTAGAGCCCCCTGTAAACCCTATCCTGAGTAAAACAAACTCAAGGTTAAAAAAGAAAAAGGAAGAAATGTTTGTCCTCTGAACTTGAAAAGGGTTAGCAAGCATCCATGCACATGGAAGAAACTCCTTACTCTCTGGTTGAAGAGAAGTTCCTCTTTATGCCTTCCATGCTTTACTCACTGTAATGGGTAATAGATAAACAGAGGTGCTTTTTTTCCCCCCACATTAAGCTATTTATGGAACTTGGTCAGCTAAATAAATTTAGAAGTGAAAATGAGAAAAAGAATAGGAAATAAATCATCAGTTTGGAAGTAAATTACTCTATTGAATATTTTGAGTGTAGTATCAGTGTTATCTACATTTTCTTCCTTATTTCCTCAATGGGATGAATTCTAGCTCTGCTTAGGCTGCTGTGCTTTTCTTTTGATTGCTAATTCATTAGGTGTCCTTGGCAGCAGCACCTGAAATAACTGCAGAGGGTGCTCCTAAGTGAACTCCTAAATTGCTTCTCAATTCTCCCAGTTGATTGAGGCACTATTTCTTGAGCAGTTCCACTTAAGTTGTTGATGTTTGGGGTTACTTTTGATTGTTTTGTTTGAATACCATGTTCATGATGTGTGGAAGGCTGTTGCTTTTAGCAATATGGAATAAATAAGCCCTGGGTGGTAAGCATTAAAGGGAAAAAACCTTTTTTGTAGTGTTATGCTAAATGAAATTACTCTCTTTGTCACTTTATCCTTTCAGTCTGATAACCTCAACCTATAGTGATTTATTTGTTTTCTTCAATTTAGCTTAGCTTCCTGTACCTAGGTGCATCTATTTCTGCTGTTAGTCATCTTAGTAATGTAGAGCATGTTTCTGACCTGAAAGTGTGGTTTCTTTTACTCTGAACCACATCAATATGCCTTCCATCCTCTACTTCCTTTGCATTATTTTCTTATAGAGGGCTCAGTTTGTCACCATTTAATCTAAGGATAATTCATCTGGGACTAAGAACTGGTAATGCTGTAATAACAATACCTTTCTTTATATAACAATACTCAAAGCACTTACCATCTTAGCCTTTCTCTGTTTATGAAGCACTTTTAGTTTAATCCTTTATAATAGCCCTGTGGGTAAGTCAGCAATTCTGTCTAAGATAATGAGATTGTATCTCAAAGAGGTTGAGTAACTTGCTCAGGGTTGCAGTAACGCTTAACAATTTCTACAGGAAATGAAGAATACTTTTAAAGATATTCTGAATGAACAAAAAAGGAATTTTCCATACTGTGTCTTTATTGTAGAAAAAAATCTATTTTTAGTATGTTCAGTTGATTAAGACCAGGGTTGAAAGCCTATTCTTTATCCATAGAGTTTAAATTGATGTGTCCAAGTCAAGAATATAGATATTCAGGTCAGTTTCTATTCTGCTGCTGATGTGATAAAGTTAGGGAAGGCTGGCTCTTACATTAGTGGAACTTGAACTGGAAGTAATTAAGCAGTTAATTATTTTTTATTCTCTCTTCCCTTTAGAGAGATGGAAACTTTGATGACTAGTTCCACCCTACCTCCCCTTTATGCAGATGAAGATGGCTCCAAGGAGAGTAGTGATCTGGCTACAACTGGGTAAGCAGCTGTTTTGGGACACTGGGCCTCTGCCTCGGCTTCAAAACAAAGATTCTAACAAAGTGCAAGTGCAAAAGAGGCAGTTTTATATCATAAAAATAGAAGGTATGTGGTTGCACTTTGCAAAGAGAGTGAGAGCTATTGTAATCTGCATTCAGCTGTCACTTGCAATGCCCTGCTCCTGTGAACAGCAAATATGTGGGGTCTAGTACACATCAGCAACTCACAGTTAAGAGAATTACAGTCACCTTTAAGGAAATATCTGCCACAGGATTAGCTCTGCAAATGAAATGTATTCTCTGTTTGAATTGCTATAGATATTACAACAATTTTTTTCCCAAAGGTCTGATTTTTTAAAAAATCAAATTTTTAAAAGAGAGTTCTTTCTTCAAGATGCCTAGGAATTCTAGCTGACTTCTTTTCTTTTTTATTCTCCTGTCTCCCTTCTTTGCTATTTTTGGACCGATAAGTGAAAGCATATAGAAAAGGGCTAATAGCTAGTCCTTTGTCCCATGAGAATTTTTGTCACACTTGAATTTTTATCTTTTCTATTTAGAAGTTATTCTCTAAAGAAGAAACTAATAGATTGAAGTGCTTGCTAATCCCTAAAATGAATTATTTTCATATTCTTGAGCTCTTTAAAAATAGAGTATATTTTGTAATTCTGTTTTCGTTCTTCAGATTTATTTTCTACCTCTTTAACATCTGCCTCTCGAACCTTACTATTCAATCTTGTTCTCCAAGACTTTGCTAAAGTTTGCCAATTGCTAAATCTAATTCATTCAGTAAAAAATTGTCAGTGTCTACTATGTGCCAGACACTGTTCTAGGTACTATAAATTAAGCAATAATCAAAACATACATAAATCCCAACCCCTGTAGAGCTCAATCCTACCAAAGAAGTCAGAAGAAAAAAAAAACAGGATAAATAAGTAAAATAGCCCTGGCCAGTTTGCTCAGTGGTTAGAGTGTCGGCCTGTGGACCAGAGAGTCTCAGGTTCAGTTCCGGTCAAGGGCACATACCTCAGTTGCAGTTCTATCCTCAGCCCTGGTTGGGGTTGTGCAGGAGGCAACCAATTGATGTGTCTCCCTCACATCAATATTTCTCTCTCTCCCTTCTTCCTTTCCTCCCTCTCTATCTGAAAATCAATGGAAAAATATCCTCGGGTGAGGATTAAAAATAATAATAATAAGTAAAATACATACTATTGATAAGAGCTAAAGTGAAAAATAAAGTAGGGATAGGAAGGGCTCAGGGTACAGTTTTAGACAAGATGGCCTAGAAAGGCTTTAATGAGAATGTGACTTGAATAAAGACCTGAAGGAAGTAAGATAGCTAGCCCGATGTTATCTAAGGAAGATTATTTAGAAGGAGGAATGAATGCCAAAGTCCTGAGATAGATATGTTCTACCCTTTAGAAATAGCCAAGAGGCTAGTGTGGCTGGAACAGAGTATGCAAAGGGGAAAGGAGTAATTGAGGGTTACATCAGTGCTTCTCAAACTGTAATGTACATATGAATTGCCCAGAAAGCTTATTAAAATGTAGATTCTGAGTCAGAAAGTTGAGTTAGGACAAGAGATTCTACATTTAATGAGCTGCCAGGTGATGACTAGGTTGCTGGTATGAGGCTCATACTACAGTAGCAAGGGACTAGATCTTGTAGCATTTTACAGGTCAAAATGAGCATTTTAACTGTTACTCTGAGTAAGATGGGAAAGCATTGAAGGATTTTAAGTAGAAGGATATGCACCAAGAGGTCTCAGTTTGATTCCCGGTCAAGGCACATGCCCAGATTGTGGGCCCCATCCCCAGTGAGGGGCATGCAGGAAGCAGCCAATCAGTGCTCTCTCTCATTGATGTTTCTGTCTTCCTTCCTCTCTAAAATCTAAAGACAAAAAAAGGTTTTTTTTAAGATAACGGGGTGGGGTGGGGGAAATGGGGGCAGGTAGTGAGAAGTGTAGAATTCTAGATATATTTTGAAGGTAAACCAAACAGGATTTGCCTGAAAGACCAAATAAGATGTAAGAAGGGAGCCCTGGCCAGTTTGGCTCAGTGGTTGAGCATCGGCCTGCAGACCAGAGAGTCCCGGGTTCAGTTCCTGCTAAGGGCATGTACCACAAAAAAAAAAAAAAGAAAAGAAAAAGATGTAAGAGGGGAGAAGAAAGCAGTCAAAGACAACTGCAAGGTTTTGGCCTAAGAGACTAAAGGGATAGAATTAACTTAGATGAGGAAAACTAAGCAGGTAGGAGAGGGAATTTTAGGAGCTCAGATTTGGAGATTTTAAACTTGAGATGCTTTAGATATCCACACAGAGATGTCAAATAGGCAACTTAATAATCGGATTCTGAAGTTAGAGGAGGTCTACACTAGAAAGAGAAACTTTGGAGTCATCAGTGTATATATAGTTAAAGCCATGAGACTTGATGAGATAAGATATGAGCACTGTGTAGATAGAAAAGAGAAAAGTTCTAATGCCTGAGCTCTGGGATACATCAGCATTTAGAAGTCAGGCAGAAGAGTAAGAGTCAGCAAAGACTAAAGGGTGTAGTTAAAATGGTAGCAGAAAAATCAAAGATCTGGGGGGTCCTGGAAATAAAGTAAAAAGTGAGGGAAAGAAATCAACTGGGTCAGATACTTCTGGAAGATCAGGTAAGATGAGGACTGAGAAATGACATAGGATTTAGTGTGGAGGTCATTGTTGACCTTGACAAGAGTTGTAAGCACTATCCTCCTTTTGATTGGTTTTAAGAGAAAATGAAAGGAGAGAAATTGAAGACAGTAAGTATAAACAAAAGTTCTTTCCAATGAAATCAATAAGTATAAACAATTCTATAAAAGGAAAAGAGGAAAATGAGGTAGGATCAAGAGAGTGTGATATGTGTGTGAAGATAAGAGTAATAATGCCACATTTGTGTGCTGATTAGGCCAATCTGGTAGAGAGGAAAGAGTTGGTGGTGCCAGAGAGGGCAAAATTGCCAAAAACATATCTTTGAGCAGGCAGGCTAGCAGGTGTAGATTCCGGGGCACAAATGAAAGAGTTGTTGGCATTAGCTAAGAGCATGGACAATTAATTCATTCCTAGGAACAAAGGAGCCCTTTTTTCTCTCTCTTTTTTTTTTTCCAATTTTTATCTAGCTTGTCATCTCCAAGGCATGTGATACCTTTGACCACTCCCTTCTGCTTTTCTGTTCATTTCAGTCAGGAATTCATAGAATTGGTATTCTTTCTCAAACATAGTTCTCATAATTCACTGAAATAAGAATGTAAGAGTTAGTAACTTAAAAATTGATGACACAGTTGAAATGAGAATGACAGTCAGAGAACAAGTTGCCTAAGACATCCAAAATATTTGAAATATTGGAAAACAAAGCTGCCTAGATCAAACTGGATCTCTGTTGAAAGGGTCAGGAAAGTATAAATGTTTTCATTTTCAGAACAGTCTGCTTGGGCTTTCATTCATTTCTCAGTGCAATGTATTCTGGTTTATTTCCGTAATTTTTTATTTTCGTTAATTCTCTAAAATTACCAGTGAATTTTAGGTCTTCAAATTTAACAGATACTTTTTAGCCTATTGTACTTGACATCTGTACCTTTTTACATGGTTAGTAACCACTTCTTTTTATTTATTTATTTATTGTTTACAGTATTACAGATGTCTCCTATTTTTTCCTCCTTTGCCACCCTCCACCCAGCCCCCGCCCCACCCCAGGCCTTCCCCACACTGTTATCTGTGTTCATGGATTATGCATAGATATTCTTTGGAATAACCCCTTCTTTAAAGTCTTCCTGCCTTGCCCTCTGTGATAGTATTCTTTCCTAAGTCTCTTAATGCCCTCTCTAGTCTTTCCCAGTTCTTCTAATACTTGCTCCTAAAATGATGCTGTTCCATCAGAGTTCTGTCTTCACATTTCTTCTGTCTTTCTGGAAAATGTCTAGTACTTCCCCCTATTTCCATGGGCTCATGCCTCTCAAATCTATCTCATTCCTTTTCTTTACTTCTGTTCTCCCAGTTGTCTGCGACATGGCTCCACTTAATTATGCCTTAAGTATTTCAGACTTACCATTTTCTCATCTGTCTGTCTTTCTTTTTTAAACACACACACTGCATTTGTTACCTTGGATCATCGTACTATGTAATCACAATCTGAAAACTTCAGAATTACCTTGGCTCTTTTTTTTCTTCACTATATTCAATCATTAAGTTCTCTTCATTCTACCTCTTAAGTATCTTCTAGCTTTCTTTCCCCTATACTCTAGCCTTCCTGCCCTTGTCTCTGATTTAATCTGTTGCAGTAGCCTCCTGATAAATTTCCCTTTCTCCTGTTATATTATGTTCTTTCTGCTTGTAATGACATTGTTTACCTGATGAATGCCTACTCCTCTTTCAAGTCTCTTAACATCCTCTCCCACATATAAAATTTATCATACCCTCTTACTGTGCCTTTACAGCACATTTTACAAACCTGTATATCAGTATTAATGTTACATTATAATTCCATGCCTATAACCCTATGAAATACACATTCTTCCAGAATAAAGACTAAACATTACTTTCTCATATATCTTCCTTCACCTCTGTGATCTGATTGTCGATAAACACTTTAATCCAAGAAGTAATGGCCTATGGAATGTATCACAAGATATATCTTATGCCCTTTAAGAACTCTTTTGTGCTGGGGGCAAACTTCTACAATTCTAATTCCTGTTCTCCTTTTCTATTAATAGTATTTTCTCTTACATTGGAGATATATGAAAGGTAGCATATAAAATTCAGGCTCTGTTGCACGCACAGAACTAAATTGTGAAGTCTATATGTTGAGGAGAGGTAATATTTTGGGAAAAAATTATAGCTGTTTTTAGTAGACTGCTTCATGGAATGGACGTGTTTCAATCAAACACTGAAACCATATTTTAAATGCTCTGTAACTGCTATGGAGATATATTTACATTTACACAGAATGAGGTGGGGGAATAAATTCAATGACTGGCCTATGCTTTTGCTGGCAGGGAAATTTGTCTTGAACCTTGATACATAGGAGTGTGTGATGTTGTTGATACTAAACTGTTACACTTTCTGCCTGTTATTTTTCAGGCTAACTCACCCAGAGATTTATAGTAGTGGAGCCACATCATCTACCAACAACCCAGAATTTGTGGAGGCTCTCTCCCAAGGTCAGTTGCTTCAGAATGAGCCTTCAAACACAGCAGAAGGCAATGAACAGAGGCGTGAAGATGAGGTAAGTTGAAGTATTTCCTGTTACTGGTCTCTGAAACTTCTAAAGAAGCAGGCAGTAGGTGTCCATCATTTGGCCTTAAATTCTGCAGAATTTTGTTTTATAGTTCTTGTTTTACATAGAATCATATTAAATGTTTTAATGACATAAAGACAAGTAGACTCTTTTTTTTCCCCTAAGAAATTTATACCTACATCATATTAGATGTTCAACAAATGCTTGTTAAATGAGTGAATGAGTTATTTAATTAAAAAGTAATTAACAAGCCAGTTTGGCTCAGTGGTTAGAGCGTTGGCCCATGGACCAGGGAGTCCTTGGTTTGATTCTGGCCAAGGGCACAGACCTCACTTGCGGTTCATCCCTGGCCTGGTTGGGGTCATGTGGGTGGCAGCCACTCGATGTGTCTCTCTCACATCAGTGTTTCTCTCTTTCTCTTCCTCCTTCTCTCCCTCCTGCTCTATCTGAAGAAAAATGCAAAAATGTCCTCGAGAGAGGATTTTTTTAAAAAGTAATTAATGAAAAGTCCACCTGCCTGTGTTCAAGACCACACATTGCTCCCCAAGCTCTGCAGCATGGAGTCGTATGTGCCCAAAGGATTCATACCACTTACCAATCATTCCACCTTCCATAGGGGGCATCTTTAATTCATACAGAGGTTACATATGGGCCTGCGTAGTCATGCCCTTACTGGACTCTCAGTGTTACTCGCAAATGATTGATTACATTGTCTGTGTTTTAAGGCACTCTTTATTAGCCATAAAAGAATACCACCATTGCCCTGGCCGGTTTGGCTCAGCGGTTAGAGCGTCGGCCTGCGGTCCCGAGAGACCCGGGTTCGGTTCCCGCTAAGGGCACGTACGCACATACCTCGGTTGCAGTTTGTCCCCGGCCCTGGTTGGTTGTGCGGGTGGCAGCCACTCGATGTGTCCCTTTCACATCGATGTTTCTCTCTCTCTTCCTCTCTCCCCCTCCCACTCTACCTGAACAAAAAATAGAAAAATGTCCTCAGGTGAAGATAAAAAAAAAAAAAAAAAAGAATACCACCATTAATTTTTATCTTTTTTCTCATTTTAAAAGAGCTGAGTTTTTTCATGTTGGCATTCTTGAAGGTTATGATGGATGCTTAAAGCTTCTCAAACATCTTAAAGTCCTTAGTAGCTTTAAAAAAAATTTTTTTCTTTATTGATTTTAGAAAGGGAGTGAGAGGGAGAGAGATAGAAACATAGATGAGAGAGACTATGGATCGGCTGCCTCCTGCATGCCCCACACTGGGGATTTGACCCACAACCTGGGCATGTGCCCTGACCAGGAATCAAACCAACAACCTCTTGGTACATGGGTCGATGCTCAACCACTGAGCCACACCAGCTGGGCCTTAATAGCTTTAGTAGCTTTACTATTACTAGCTTTTTTAAACAACTGATACCAAATACACCATTTGCCTGGTGGTAATTTATTGTACAATTTTATATATTATGGAGGAGTATGGTAATGTAAATAATATTTAGGTGTTTTCGTCCTGATTTGCTTCTCTGAAATAAGAATTCTTTCTCTTCTCTGAAATAAGAATCAGGCCCACTACCTGGGCATGCGCCCTGACCGTGAATCAAACCAGTGACCTCTTGGTGCATGGGTTCACACCCAACCACTGAGCCACACGGGCTGGGCTAAAATAAACATCTTAAGGAACAAATCATCAAGCTAAAAACCTAGTCTTCATTTTGGATATATTACCTTTATTGAATTGTTTCCAAGACTTAGATATTAAAATCTATGTACTATCTACTATGAGAAATAAACTCATCTTCGAGTAGTATTAATGAGAAACACCCCTCACAAATAATTTTTTTAAATATGTTTTTATTGATTTTTTTTAGAGAGAGAGAAAGGGAAAGGAAGAGAGAGGGAGAGAAACATCTATCTATTGCCTCCCACATGCACCCCGACTGGGGATTGAATCCACAACCTAGGTATGAGTACTGACAAGGAATTGAACCAGTGACCATTGGGTGCACAGGATGATGCTCAGCCCACTGAGCCACATTGTCCAGGGCTTCATGAATAATTTTTATCCCTATGCTACAACTTATCTCTTTGGACCAGTCTGTGTGGCTTGGTGGTTGAGCATCAACCCATGCACCAAGAGGTCACTGGTTCAATTCCCAGTCAGGGCACATGCCCAGGTTGCAGGCTCAATCCCCAGTAGGGGGTATGCAAAAGGCAGCCAATCAGTGTTTCTATCTCTCTTTTCCTCTCCCTGTCTCTCTAACAATCAATAAAAACATTTAAAAAAATTTAGCCCGAGAGAAAAAAGAAACTTGTCTCTTTGTTTGCCCATCATGTTTCATCTTGTTCTGATCTACTGTGATAATGTCTGCTTTTCTGGCACAGTGCTGAGTATATGCTGCATTTCTCACTTAGAATATTCCCCTGTTGAGAGTCAGGACTTATTAAGTGCACATTAAGGCCAAAGCTTGAGTGATCATGACACCCCTTATTCTCATCTCTTGAGATTAGCACTAGAATATGCCCTTAGTGCAACAGTTTGTAGTGTGGTACATAAAGGGGTCTGCAAGTGAACCACCCGGAGTCCCCTCTTGAAAACTTCATTGCAGTTATTTGTGCCTGTGAAAGACATGCAGAGTTTTGAATATCCAGGATCTTAATGGCAAGAAAATGCAACTTTTTTGTTGTTGTGTTATTTAGGGACATTTTTGTTGTTATTTTAATTTGGTTTTATTTTGATTTTATCTTGTGTTGTAGCAAAGAGGTAAACGAGGAGGGTGGTCCAAAGGAAGAAAGAGGAAGAAACCTCTTCGAGACAGCAATGCACCCAAATCCCCCCTTACAGGATATGTTCGGTTCATGAATGAGCGTCGAGAACAGCTTAGAGCAAAGAGACCAGAAGTCCCATTTCCAGAAATCACAAGAATGTTAGGCAATGAATGGAGTAAACTGCCTCCTGAGGAAAAGCAGGTAATTTTTTCTATTCCTGACCCATAGCTTAGTTTTTATATCTCAGAAATAATCTCTATTAGAAAAGCAAAGAAGATGGACAACTGATTCTTCAGTTTTGTCATGTGCCTAGCAGGGTCCTTTATAGCTCTCTCTCTACAGCCCAGTGGTTTTCACATTCTTTCAGGGTCTGCTGTAAGGTATGAGCAGGGGCAGCTCTCACCCAAAACAACTGCACTGGTGTTTGATTGATCTGCTGAGAGATCATGTAAGATTTTTGTAGTTGTTCAATATTAAGAAGTTGATCAACAATTTATTCCACTAAGTTCAATGAAAAGTCATGAGTTAAATGAGAAGTCATCTGATATAATTCTGTTCACATAAGAATTTTGTTTAAAAGACATTATTGCTTTAAGAAAATTTTTAAACTAGAGTTTTGGTGTATTTAACTTAATATGGAAAGAAAATAAAGCAAGAAAATTCTTTCTCTTCTAAAACAGAAAGTAACTCTATTATCCAACTGAAACAAATCTATTCATCAGAGATATTTGAGAGGAAGATAGCCATACATTGGCTGAAATGTCTCAAAAGCAGAGTGATGGTTGTGAGAGTGGCTTTGAGTTAAAAGTTTCTAGCATTTGCTCTGGCCGGTTTGGCTCAGTGGTTGGAAACCAAAGGGTCACGGGTTCAATTCCCAATCAAGGGCATGTACCTGGGTTGCAGGTTGGATTCCCTGGTCCCAATCAGGGTCTTGCAGTCCATGTGTCACTCTCACATCGATGTTTCTCTTTCTCACTCCCTCTCTCCCCCTTCTTCTCTTCCACTCGATCTAAAAATCAATGGAAAAATATCCTCAGTTGAGAATTAACCAAAAAGAAAAAGAAAAGTTTTAGCATTCTCAGCATCTGAAAGATACCTCTATTTCTTTTATGTCTTATATTCATTTTTACCAAATTGAGAAATACTTTTGGGAATTAATGAATTCAGAAATTTTCAAAGAGATCAGATGAAGTTGCAACTTAAAGCTCTGTGTTTGTGGTAGCAAGCTAATAGAAAGTAGTGCAGCCCTGGCCGGTTTGGCTCAGCGGTTAGAGCGTCGGCCTGCGGTCCTGAGAGACCCGGGTTCGGTTCCGGCTAAGGGCGCGTGCCTCGGTTGCAGTTTGTCCCCGGCCCTGGTTGGTTGTGCGGGTGGCAGCCACTCGATGTGTCCCTTTCACATCGATGTTTCTCTCTCTCTCTCTGTTCCTCTCTCTCCCTCCCACTCTACCTGAACAAAAAATGGAAAAATGTCCTCCAGTGAGGATTAAAAAAAAAAAAAAAGAAAGTAGTGCAGTATTATCCATTATTTTAGCTCTAATGTATAAAGGGATTGTGAGTTGTACATATAGATTACTCTTTTTTTATTTCAAAATTAATGTATGCTCTTTGTTTTAAAATGTTTTCAGACAATACAGAACATGTAAAGAAAAAAGCAAAAGTAATAATAGTTATGTCCAAGGATAACCACTGTTAGGTAGATAGGACAAGGGTTTGTGTACTCATTTTTGTTTTTTTTACTTTTTATTTGAAAATAATTTTAAGTGTACAAAAACTTACATAGAATAGTACAAAGAACACCCAAATACCCTTTACCCAGATTTGCCTATTGTTAATACGTTTTATCCCATTTCTCTATTTGCACATGTGCTCGCACTCTCCAGCACAAGTTTTCTCACACTCTCACACACTCACATAATACAAACACACACACTAGTTTTGTCAGAATCATTTGAGAAGTTATATGCATCATGACCATAAATATTTTAATATGTATATCCTTAAAATAGACGTATTCTTTTACATAACCATAGTATAATTATCAGCTTTATAATTTTATATTAACACAGTAGTTTTGTCTAACCTGCCATCCATATACCAATTTTATCAGTTGATATAACATCATTCCTCTATAAAAATTTACCCCTCTTGAACGATTGGCTCAGTTGCTTGGAGCATCATCCCCTACACTTGCAAATTCACTTACTTCCCAGTCAGGGCATATACCTAGGTTGCACATTCACTCCCTGGTCAGGGCCTGCACAGTAGGGAGGAAACTAATCAATGTTTCTCTTTCTTTCTCTCCCTTCTACTCCCTCTGAAATCAATAAACATATCCTCCAGTGAGGATTTTTTTTAAATCCCCTCCAATTCAGATTCCAAACAATGTGTTTAGGAGTCAAATTTCTAGAGTCCTTTAATCTGGAATATTTCCACAACCTTCTCTGTCTTTTATGACATTAATTTTTTTTTAATCCTCACCCGAGGATATTTTTCTATTTATCTTCAGATGGAGTGGGAGGGAGGGAGAGAGAGAGAACCATCGATGTGAGACAGACACATCCACTGGCTGCCTCCCACATGACCCCAATCAGGGCCAGGGATGAACCACAACTGAGGTACATGCCCTTGACTGGAGTCACACCTGCGACTCATTGGTCCACAGGCCAACACTCTAATCGCTGAGCCAAACTGGCCAGGGTGACGTTAGTATTTTTTTAAAATACAGTCTCTCCTTCTTTCTCTTCTTGCTGTTTGTTTACTTTTAGCAGAACATTTCTCATTTTGTATTTGTTTGATGTTTTTTCATAACTAGATTTAGATTATTCATTCTTGGTCAGAATACTGTTGTGGTGTTGTGTCCTTCTTAAGAACATATAAAAATCAGTTTCAAAATTTTCCCCCAGATTTAGTATTCATTGATGACTTTTGACTGACCTAATCTTTACCATGATGGTTGCAAAATAATCACTTTCCAACCCTACCACTCCCTCTACAGTTGGTCTTCAGCATTCTAATCTAAGCAAGAGCCCTCCTCCTCTCTCCATTTATGTATTTATTTGGCTGATATTTATTTATTATTGACATAGCATATGAAGTTTTTTAATGTTTTATAATCTATTACTATACTTAAATATTTTGGTACTTAAATTGTCCCAGATTTGGCCAGTTGGGTGTCCTCTACATTTGGCTCTTGAGAGGGACAAGGTTTTTAACAAAATTTCTGACTCTAGTTTATATTCTTTATACTTTAGTTTTATACTTTATTTCTTAAATCTAATTGATGAATGAAAAGGACAAGTCATTAAACAAAATAATGCTGGTAGGTCAGTGGACTTTGTTTAAACAATGAGTAGCACAAAGCATGTAGATATGAGCTCTCTCCATATAATGAGGTCATTCTTTTTAATGTTGTGTGTGTCTTCTGGCTTTAGTGTCCCCCTCTTATGGCTTTTAAAAGGCCAGTTGATGTGTGAGATCATTCCCTCAGAATAGGTTGGGGATTAGAGAAACAAAGTAATATTTCATCCTTTCTCCTGGGAGGACTAAATGTGTCTAAGTAGTATGTTCAGTCATCTTGAGGACTCTAGTGGCCATATGGAGTTGTATGTATTAGGTTAGAGAAATAACTATAATCATCTTGTGAATTTTTTATGAGAATGACCTCAATAGAACTTGTCTTCATTAAGGCAGAAAAGGCAAATAAATAGTCTATAATAAGTCAGAAATCTATTTCTTTTATAATTTAGAGATTATACTTTATTCATATAACATTTTTAATTGTCCCTTAAAGCTTATACCCCACTACTTTTCTTTCCATATTCTAATTGTCTTCTGTGTTCTTCTCATTGATATTTTACCTGAATAAGATCTGTTTCTTCAAAATAATTCCACATTTCTTTCCTAGCGCTACCTTGATGAAGCAGACAGAGATAAGGAACGTTACATGAAAGAACTGGAGCAGTATCAGAAAACTGAGGCCTACAAGGTCTTCAGTAGGAAAACACAGGATCGTCAGAAAGGCAAATCACAAAGGCAAGGTATTAGAACCAAAATTAAATGTATTTGTGATGAGTGTCACAAAGCCTACTATTATGAATGATAAATATAAAAGATATGTTCCTATCATTTCTGTATTATACTATACTCACTTATAAGCATCATCTTCAATTTTATTAAAATTACATTGCTCTCATTTATAAAATCCAGTTGGTTTCCATATCCAGTATCAACAATTTGGCTTGTGTTCCAAGATCCCTTTTAGTCGTCTGTGCTTTTTTTCTAATTCCCAGTTTAGGTATTTCTCTGCCTCTAAACAAATCTGTCTACTAAACCACTTAACTGTCTTGTCTTAGCACCTCCAAACCTTTTATATACCATTTCTTCCAGCCTCAGATAATCGTTCTTTTCATCCATGCATTCATGTCTGTGTGTATTAAAAAAAAATGTATTGAGCACCTCCGTTACATACCAACCTCTCACCTAGCCTTTAGTAAAGCAATGATGAACAAAGTAGACAAGATCACATTTAGGTATTTTGCTTGCTAAATTATAATGTTGTACAAACAACCTTTAGCATATGTTTCCTTTTCACCTTCCCACCATATTCTCAATGGTAAGAACTGTGTCTGCCGTTTCTCTTGTATCTAATTGTAACCTATAAATACAGGATTCCCTTTAAGTTTTGTTGACTAACTGATTAACAAAGCCATGAGAGAAAATATCATATGTTATGATAGCCTACATATACCAGCAGTTTTTGTTGATTGTTATAGTCATTTCCTTGGGTCTAGTTATTCTTTTCTGTTTTTCAACTGTTCTCTTATTCTTCCATATTTTTTAGATGCAGCCAGACAGGCCACTCATGATCATGAGGTAATTAGCTTTCCTTCTGCGTATCGTATATGTATTTATAAATGTTATTTGAAATACTATTGAAATTTTTTTTAATGAATGCAGAGTATTTCCTATTCCATAATTCAGGTTGGGTGAGTTGTTTTAGCTCAAGGATTCATGGTATATGACAGACACTTATGTCCTCGGTGTGCCTTTTAACTATACAGCTCCTTATTTCAGTCTTTTCTTGTGGTCCAAGAATTGTATTGGCTTTAAATGCTGAAGATGACTGGGATTTGGAGTGAGATATAGAAATTAAGAGTAGCTAAAAGCTAAAATTTGACCATAATTCATCATCATCAAATACCTTACTCTGATTTTCAAAATCAAGTTGTTATTTAGGGAATCCAACATTTGGTTACAGTGTTAACAGAGCACAAATGACAGTATTTGATTCCCATGCCTCCTATTCTCACTGGCTTATATTTGTTTACTTGGCCTTTTCCCCTCCATTTGATTCAACCCTAGCAATAGGATTTATGCCTATGTTTTTGTGTGTGAATATAGGATTTAGGCCTGTGTGTGTTGGCTATGCTGCAGAGAGCTTTAAATATATATGTAGGTTACAGTTAATACAGTCATGCACCATTTAACAGGGATACATTCTGAGACATGTTATTAGGTGATTTTGTCATGTGAACATCATAAAATGCACTGCACAAACCTGAGTGTATAGTCTACCACACACTTAGGCTGTATGTATACCTCCATTGTATATGCGGTCCATCATTCACCAAAACAGTGTTATACAGTACATGACTATATATAGTTGTAAGAAAATAAAATTTGTAATTTCATGTCTTAAATGCTCAGTGACTCCTCATTGCTTACCAAATCACATTCAAAATCAGCAGTAAGGGTCTTCTGTGATTAAGTTCCAACTTCCTTTTCAGCTACCTTAGATCCCATATTTCCAATATATATCTTATCAACTTAAAAACCTTTACACCCGGCCAGTGTGGCTCAGTGGTTGAGCATCAGCCCTTACACCAAGAGGCCGCTCGTTTGATTACCAATCAGGGCACATGCCCAGGTTGTGGGCCAAATCCCCAGTGGGAGACATGTAAGAGGCGGCCAATCGATGTTTTCTCTCATTAATGTTTCTCTTATCTCCCTTCCTCTCTCTAAAATCAATAAAGAAAAAAAAAATTTTTTTTTAAACACATTTATTTACAACTCATTGTCCTCTAGGTGCCCCATCTCTGCATCATGTGTATGCTCATATTCTTTTTTTCGTGGCAATACTTTGTTTCTCTTGATCATCTTTTACACACACACACACACACACACACACACACACACCTGTCATCCCATTCTGCCTCTCAAAATTTTAGTCATCAGGTTCTGTTTCCTCCTTCAAGCTTGTCTTTTTTCCTCCAATTTCCTTTAACCTTCACAGCTCTCTATATTTCTCTTATGCATGTAGCTGATCTGGCCTTGTGTTGAGGTTATTGAAGTGCTTCCATTAGTCAGACTTTTGGATTGTAACTTCTTTGAAGGTATGCATGGAATAATTTTCATCTTGTACCCAACCCTATATCAACTACCATGATGTCCTTGCAGGTAGGGAGCCATCCATAAGGACTGATTTATTTTTATACAAAAAGAATATTCTGATGTATTTTTTTTAATCCTCACCCGAGGATATGTTTATTGATTTTTATTCTTTTTTAAATTAATTTTAGAGAGAGAAGAGGGTAGAAGGAGAGAGAAAGAGAGTGACATTGATGTGAGAGAGAATTATCAATCAGCTGCCTCCTGTACACCCCCTACCAGGGATCTAGCTGACAGCTCGCACATGTGCCCTGACCAGGAATCGAACCAGAACTATTTATTAATTTTTAGAGAGAGAGAAACATTGATGTGAGAGAGAAACATCAATCATTTGCCTCCTTTACATACCCCAACTGAGGATTGAACCCACAACCTTGATATGTACCCTGACCAGGAATCGAACCCACAGTCTTTTGGTGTATGGGACGATGCTCCAACCAACAGAGCCACCCAGCCGGGACTCTGATGTATTCTTTTACATGTATTGTTTTTTTTTAACTAAATCAAGGAAATCATTTCATCAGAATATTCATTTATTTATATTGGGGCTGTAGTTTTCACACCTAATTTGATATTTGACCTTCAGAACATTGGGAAAACATTTAGATTCACAACTCAAAAAGATTTATTATAAATAGGTCTTATCATAAATTATAAAATGAGAAGCATGGTAAATATTAGCATTTTATTCTTCATATAAATCTGATGTAAATGTAGTTATATACAACATCTCTGTGCTCTAACTAGGATACAATATTATGAAATTTTTTTGTTTGAAAAACTGTATGCTTTATATTTTACTTTTTTATTTATAAATTACAATTCACATATACAATACTATATTGGTTTCAGGTGTATAACGCCATGATTAGACATTTATATAACTTACAGAATGATCACCCCAATAAATCTAGTACCCATCTGACACCATACGTAGTTATTACAAAAATATTGACTATATTTTTTTTGTTGTACTTTACATCACCATGACTGTTCTATAACTACCACTTTGTACTTCCAAATCCCTTCATCTTTTTCACTCATCCTCCCCACCAACTCCCCTCCCATCTGACAACCATAAAAATGTTCTCTGTATTTATGAGTCTGTTTCTGTTCAGCTTATTCATTTATTTTGTTGGGTTTTTTTTGCATTCCACATAAAAGTGAAATCCTGGCATTTGTCTTTGTCTGACCACTTAGCATAATACCCTATAGGTTCCATGTTGTTACAAATGGCAAGATTTCCTTTTTTTTTTTTTTTTATGGCTGAATCATACTCCATTGTATATATACACCACTTGTTCTTTATCCATTCATCTATTGATGGACACCAAGGCTGCTTTCATATCTTGGCCATTGTAAATAGTGCTGCATTAAAGATATGGAAATATATGTCTTTTCAATTTAGTGTTTTGGGTTTCTTCAGGTAAATACCCAGAAGTGGAGTTACTGGGTCCTTCTTTGTCTTTGTTTTAAAGTCTATTTTGTCTGGTATAAGTATTGCTACCTCAGCTTTTTTGTTTGCTTGCCCATTTTCATGAACTATTTTCTATCCCTTTACTTTCAGTCTGTATATTGTCTTTTGATCTGGAATGAGTCTTTTGTAGAAAGTATATGTAAGAGTCTGGTTATGTTATCCATTCTGTCACCATTTATCTTTTGATTGAAGCATTTGATCCATTTGCATTTAAAGTAATTGTTGATAAATATGTATTACCATTTTATTATTTATAATTTTGATCTCTTCTTCTTAAAGAAGACCCTTTAACATTTTATGTAATACTGGTTTGCTGGTGGTGAACTCCTTTAGCTTTTCTCTGCCTGGGAAGTTCTTTATCTGTCTTTCAACTCTAAATGATAGCTTTGCTGGGTAGAGTAATCTTGGTTGTAAGTTCTTGTTTTTAATCATTTTAAATATTTTCTGACAGCCCCTTCTGGCCTGAAAAGTTTTGTTGAGAAATCAGCTGACAATCTTATGGGAGCTCTCTTGTAGGAAACTAACTGCTTTTTTCTTGCTGCTTCTAAGGTTCTCTCTTTGTCTTTAATCTTTGGTATTTTAATTATGATGTGTCTTGCTGTGGGCCTCTTTGGGTTTATCTTGTTTGGGACTCTCTGGACTTGTGTGTCAGTTTCTTTAACCGGGTTTGGGAAGTTTTCCATCATTATTTTTTCAAATAGGTTTTTAATTTCTTGCTCTCTCTCTCTCTCTTCCTTCCAGCATCCCCATGATTTGAATGTTGATACACTTGAAGTTGTCCCAGAGACTCCTTACAGTATTCTCATTGGTGTTTTTTTACTTCTTTTTTCATTTTTCTGTTCTGATTGGGTGTTTTCTACTTTCTTATCTTCCAAATCACTGAATTGATCCTCTGCTTCATCTACTCTACCATTGATTGCCTGTAATATATTATTTATTTCAGTTAGTGTATTCTTCATTTCCTACTGATTTTTGGTATGGTTTCCATGTCCATTTTTATATATATATATATATTTCTTTATCCTCACCTGAGGACAATTTTCCATTTTTTTGTTTAGATAGAGTAGAAGGGAGAGAGAGAGAGAGAGAGAGAAACATCGACGTGAAAGGGACACATTGAGTGGTCGCCACCCGCACAACCCAACCAGGGCCGGGGACAAACTGCAACCGAGGTACATGCCCTTAGCGGGAACCGAACCCGGGTCTCTCAGGACCGCAGGCCGACGCTCTAACCGCTGAGCCAAACTGGCCAGGGCTCCATGTCCATTTTTATGCTGTTGAAGTTCTCACTAAGTTCCTTGAGCATCCTTATAACCATTGTTTTGAACTCTATATCTGATCATGTGCTTGCCTCCATTTCATTTAGTTCTTCTGGAGTTCTGTTCTTTTCTTTCATTTGGGACATGGTTCTTTGTCTCCTCATTTTTGCTGCTTTCCAGTGTTTGTTTCTATGTACTGGATAGAGCTGCTACACCTCTCAGTCTTGGTAGAGTGGCCTTATGTACTGGGTGTCCTATAGGACCCAGTAGCACACCCTTCCCAGTCACCTGAGCCTAGCATTCCAGGTGCCCTTCTACTCCACGGTGGGTTCTGTGCACCCTCCTGTACCTTGATTGCTATTGGTACATCACTCAGAGGGATTGACTTCCAGGCCAGTTGACTGCAAGGACCAGCTGCAACTACAGCGGAGGAGCTGCTGTGCAGGGACCATCTCCATAGGGCAGGACCAGCTTCAGTGGGGCTTTGGTGCCCACTGAGCTTGACCCTTGAGTGTAGTTCCTGAAGGTACTTGGGTTGTAATCAGCGAGGTCTGAAGCTGTCCACCAAGTATACTAACCAAGGTCAGCCACTGCCTGTGCTCCACCCAGCATGAGCTCCAGAGCAATCTGTAGATGACTGCTACTTGTGCTGGACTTGAAAGTGCCTGGGAGAGGTCAAGCTGTGGACC